GTGATTCACTTAAGAAATGTGGAAAGAAAAGTCATAAAATGGGGTAAAACTCACTTAACAAATATCTCACTGAGCAATATACATTTTGGACTGAATTGTAGTCATAAATTGAGAACTACCTGTAGTTGCCTTGAGTATTACCCAGAGTAGTAAAATAAATTATAACCTAATCGCTCATTCAAATCAAATAAAACAATGCCTTTTCTTTTTCTAAAAAGAGTTCCATTGATTAACTTCAGAGTTCTCCAACCACATAATGTAATCTTATCTCCTAGCTAAGCAGATTCCTTTTTATCTTTCCAACATTGACAGTAAAATTCTGGTTGAATATGGAAGCCACCCGTCATGGGGGCGTGGGGATCATTGCAAACTTATAATAGGTACTCATCATCAGTGGTCAAGCCAGCGGTTCTGTTTTAATTTTGAGAGCACATTTTCTACAGTTCTGAAATAAAAGCAAGAAGTTTTTATTGAAGCTTTAAATTACCCTTGTTTTCTGTTTTACCTTTTAACAAAACAATGATTTTTTTTTCTATAAAAAGAAAGCTAGTAACTGGCATTTTCCAGAGAGCACATGAGCTTTAAAAACTAGGTATACGTAGTCCTCGACATATAACCATAATGGAGTCTGGAATTTTCATTGTAAATCATGATAGCTATAAGGTGTTGGTTTAATTGATTTGAATGAGTGGCTAGGTTATAATCCATTTTTCTACTCTGGCTATTACTCAAGGCAACTATCAAAACTCTGAAACAAAAGCAATATAAAAGCTAAAGGTATAGATTTACATTATCAATAAAATTGCATTAAAATTTTAAGAAACAAGCTAGACCTGATTTTTTCCACTTTTTTGCAGTGGTCATTAAGCAAACCTATGTATTTCTGCCCTGTTTTCCCCAAAATAAGACATCCCCAGATAATAAGCCCAATCGGGCTTTTAAATGCATGAGCTAAAATAAGCCCTCTCCCTCAAAATAGCCACTTCCTGAAAATATTGCAACACAGCAGCAGCCATGAGGAGACCATGTTCACTGCCTCCTGCACCTCAAAAATAATAAGACCTCCCCTAAAATAAGGCCAAGTGCTTATTTCAAAGGTCAAAAGAAAATAAGACCCTGTCTTATTTTCGGGGAAACACGGTAATGGGTGTTCTTTCCTGGAATGTCCAAAAAGGCCAGAAACCATTAAAAAAAAATCCATCATAAATCACAGTCATGTGATTGTGGAATGTGGCAACCGGCTGTAAAGGTAAGCCAGTTGCCAAGTGCCCAAAATGTCACGTGACCAAGGGATAGCGGGCCAACATCAGAAGTCCGAAACCGGGTCAGTAGTAATAGTAGTAGTAATAGCGGTAGTAATAGTAGTAGTGTCCTCTATGGTCTTTTATGTCAGAAAAGGAAAAAGGATAGACTAGAATAGACTTCCATTCTCTATTGGCTAAGTGTGATTGGATACACAAGGAATTTGTCTCTGGCGCATAATAATAGTTTCACTTTCACTATTTGTGCTTGCTAACAAACAACCTGAACATAGTAAAATTCTATAAGTGGACTAAGTCCATTAAAACGTGACTTACAAGGACGTCTCTTATCCATAGATCTGGGTACTGAATTGTGACACGCTGATGGTGGAAACGTCAGGAACCCCAGTTTCCAAAAATGTTTTTACATTACTTGAACCTGAGCTGTCATCTCCTGTAAGGCCTGCTGAGCTTCATAAGGCTGTTAAAGTTCTTTACCATCCTTGTACTGAGAACAGAAACAAGGAGTAAGTACTGATTCTGCATGCTAATCTGTTTTGTGTCTCTGGAAACAGCTAAGCTACCATGGGGAATATGATAAGTTGGCTGGATTCTTGTCAGTAGTTTTTTTTTTAAATATAGCTGCCTTTATTTTATTTTTTAAATGCATCCTCTATAATCCATATTTGTGTAAAAATCTTCATTTCCTATTCTTGCTGTTTTAAGAGATGATTTATAGCACCTTAGAACATGCAGCCAAGCAACTATAGTATATACCTTCTTCATACCTCAAACATACTGGAATTTTGTTAATGGACTTGATAGGCATGTGAGTTCATATGAAAAACTGACACTTGCGGAAAACAGGAATTTATAACAATGGGAACAAGGATAGTGTCTCTTGAAGCTATCAAATGTTGTTAATCCTCAAAATCCTACCCAGCATGGTCACTCAGGTATTATAAGAGTCGTGACTCTAAAAATATGAAGCAGACCTTCTTGGCTTTTCCTGGACTAGTGTGATGAGCTACAGAATATCCAATGAGATGAAGTTGAAAAAATTGTGTATGTTTTTCTGGGAAAAGTAGAGATTATGCAGAGACCGGATTGTTTTCAAATTGTTCGAAGTACTTCAATGTAAAGTATTTATTAATTTATGTTTTATTAGGTTTGAAGTTGGCACAGATTTTTTATTGTAAGAATTGATTGTAGAAGACCTTGTCTCCAGTTAGTGGGCTCTTTTTTCTTTCAGATTATTAAACAGAGTCTGAGCATCCATCAATTGGAGAAGTTATAGCTGTAGGACTGGGGCAAAATATTTTTTTTTCATAAGGGCAAGAAATCTGCCCTTTCGTGTATTTCAAATATTGGATATTTTGGGTATTCTTTCCTATTCATGATGGGCTTGTGAAAGTATTTCTAAGGTTTATGGACTAGTATAGCCCAACAGTCATGGCTGAAGATCTAAAGTACTATATTCTCAGTACATCTGATATATATATTAGATTAGGGGTAGTTGATTTGAACACTTATGTAAAGGGTAGGCAACCTAGTGACAATAGATACCAATGGGCTCACTTTCTTGTCCTGCCTTTATTTTTAGATATTTTAAAATAAATATATAGGAAATTTCCTTCTGCATTATTTTTATAAAACACTTGTGTAGCTTGAAGCCTTTTTAGGAAATCAAAATGGTGGCTGGTTCCAGCCCAATCTTAGTTTGAAAATACACTATATTGCCAAAAGTATTGGCTTACCCATCGACATAATCAGACTCAGTTGTGAGCGAATACTTTTGTGTATGTTTACTTCCCCCTCCCCTCCTCCAAATCAGAGGTTTAGAGCATCATAGAAGAGTGAGGGCAGGTAGCCATCCTCCAGTTTGCCTTCTAGTAAGTGAGTTGTGAGAGGCCACAAACTTCACGGCATCCATTTTGTGAGAGTACTCATAAGAAATTCTGTATAGTTCCAAATGTGCCTAAAACCCAAAACAGCTTACTGTGAATTTCATCCAGGATGTTTATAGATTCCTTACCAGAATTTGCACAGAAAAGACACTGGGACCTAGTCTGAGAAATCATGCACTACACAATTTTTCCATATCCTGTCACCGCCTTCTGCCAATTACCTCCCAAAGACCTATTAGATCCCACAGATTAGGCCTCCTCCGAATTCCATCCACCGGCCAATGCCGATTGTCGACCACCCGGAGGAGGGCCTTCTCTGGGGCTGCTCCGGCCCTCTGGAACGATCTCCCTGTGGAGATCCGGACCCTCACCACCCTTCAGGCTTTCCGCAAACCCGTTAAAACCTGGCTGTTCTGACAGGCCTGGGGCTGATGAGTTCCCATCACCACTCGAATTGTGTGGCT